AAATAACACGTAATTTACGACACAGTGAGACGGCAATTGGCTGTTATCGACCATTAATGCCGTAAAGTACTCGAAGCGTCAGAACTTTAAAAATAAACCATGACAAAATCTGTTTACTACTCTTACTGTTTACTATTTTGTTCTTTACTCTTACTGTTTACTATTTACTACTTTCTGTTTACTATTTTGTTCTATTACTTGTTTAAATTACGTGTTCTATTACTTAATATTCTACTTTGTTTATCTAATACTGACTTCAGAGTAAAAATACATTACGTTTTACATTCGATAGCGGCTAAGTCGTATTCCAAGACGGCAGTGATTCATTCATGGTCTCTTGTGTACGGCTTGAGGCTCCGGCTAAATGCTTCCATTCTGATTTGCAGACCGCTTAGTACTATATTTCTTATCTTAGTACTATATTTCTTATAATGTCAGCAGTATGCCAGTTGCGTTCGCTGTACAAACGTAATTTTTGTATTACGACATCGACGTCGCATGTTTATTATAGACTAAATTAATATTATATATGTGGAGTAATAATATTCTTTACATAAGTTCGATGTTGAGGACTATTTCGCCACGTGGGCTGTTCTTTTTCTTCTTAGACAAACAAATTTCCTAGTGAAATTGATTTTGACTGCTCAGTTTTATTCGGCATTCGAATTGCAATTATCTTTGTCCGAAAAAAGTGTTATGTTTCTACTAGTCTCGAAAGCAATGAACAAAGCTTGAAAAGTATTAACGTCTCATTTATTATGATTAACATATTTGAACCTCAAAAGGGTTACAATTTGGATTCAAATATTAGATGGCAAGTCAAAGTAACTGTACACATACCCTCTATATATCTATATTACAGTGTAATCAAGTATGTTAAATCTTATATCGAAAGCTGTTAGTTGTAACCAACTGTTTCCGGAACTGTGCGTTAAATGGGCAGCGCTTTAATTTTAGTTTGCGAAACTTTACTGCCGCTATACTATCGGGCATGGTCGTTCCTTCGTCTATTATTTAACAGGATGCACGGGCTTATGTGGTGGCTACTACAGGCGGAAGGCAGTTACGCCCCCGCCCCCGTCCCTCCCACCTTCACCCTCTCCGCTCCGAGTGATATTATAAATTTTAACTTACTCCTAGCTTCTTGGACCGTCCTTGAGATTATATTACGCTCGTAGATCAATTTCTGTCTCGCTTTAGCTATAATGCAGGCCATTTGAGTCCTACCCGTGGTAATTATCGAACACAATGATACTAATTAATGATACGTTCTAGTTAATACGATTAATGGTGCTACTAAAGTTTATTACTAGACCCATCGTCTATGAATATAAAACTGGTTTCATTTCTCAACTATATAGCTTTAAATATTCCTGTTATCAAATGTTTATTATTATAAAAGTGATGTTATTGCTGTGGCTATATTGTTCTTTACTTCATTAAACACTCGAAATGCATAGTTGAGCAATAATTTATTTTAAAAATATGATTTATTTTACCATTTAATTATACATATTCCGAAATCCGTGGATGTCACTGAATGATGAAAATATTCACTGTTTTATTATCTATGGTAAGAGAACATTAAACAGATTGCCTACATTTGCGTGTTAACTATTGGTCGTACCGGTAGTGAGTTTCTATCTTTTTTCTTTGATTTCTGTCTGCTGTGGTGATTTCACTTTCATAAAAATTTTATAAAACTCAACAAAGGCTTTGAATAGTGAAAGTTATACAAGTACAGTCGAAGGAAATTCCCACAAAAGGAGACGTCCAAAGTAATTGCTCATGCAAATAGAAACGTGGGGAGGGATAATTGTTACTTACTGGCATTTAGGAACGCGAGGGGACAATTCCGCCGAGCTCTTAAAAGTGTGCAGTAATGCCTTTGCCGGAGAAATTGGCCGTCTTGGTGATTGAGAAGTTAGTCATAACTATTTTAACTTTGTGTGATGCAACGACGAATTTATTTTCGTATAATGTACACTTAGTAGAACGCTTTCCTATGCCCGTGCTGTAATAGAATATACAAGATAATTAAGGGTTATTTACGCTTAATTATCTTGTTCGTACTGTTACAGTAACTGATTAATAATTCAAATTTGTTGTTGGGTGTCGTTGTTTTGATAGACAAAGTAGACATATTCTTCATCGGAATATAGGTTGAATAAATGAGACAGTTGGTGAACCTATTGCCTTTGGAGAGTGCGAATGAATCATGCATTCATTCACCATAATCACCACCTGCTCCAGATCGGTGTATAAGGTGACCGGCCATTTGAGGCCAAACTATGTAAAATCACAATGTTCATATATTCATGTTATACATTTTAAAAAAAAAAGAGCGGAAAAGTAATTATAAATCCGAAAGAATGAATAGATCTATTATGCGCAAACATGATCTGTTTCCACGGTTTCAATTATTTTAAAACCAAAAAAGACTTGCAAGAAATGAACCTCGCATTACGCTTACTGTACGATAATTTAGTAATTCATGGCATTTCGTCGTGACTTTATAATGTCCTGTCATAGACAAATTGTTTAATCGGTGCATTTAACGATGTTTCAAAACTTCTAGAACGATGATCATGTTAGCCGGCTACGCAGTATAGCAGTTGTCAGACAAAAAAGTAGGGTTAGGTTTATTTAAAGGTTTTGTTTATTTATTTAAGACAATTTTGTATGTCCATCGTTCTTATTTCCCTAAACTTAATCATTCTATCTTCGCTGCAACTGCATTTAACGCTTCGAGATTTGCTACAATTTTTTTAAAGCGGTAATTAATAAGTGAGCGGTCTAACGTATGATAGGTGATCAATCGCCCGTACACAAAATCCAATAAAAATGTCTTCTTGTTCTTCTTTTCTTTTTTGGCGGTTTTCAATGAATACGCCGATCAACACTATTAATTCTCAAACACTGTTAGTTATATTTCAACATATTATAAGCCAAGCTAAGTTGAAATTATATTAACTCTGCATGACATAGCAGTGTGAAAATACAATGACTTATTAAATAATAAAAATGTCTGCCTTCGACTGGGTGTGCCTTCTCTCAAACGTCAGAACATTTTCTTCACAACAAGTCGCAAGCGTCATCTTCTTTACGTATGTAATTACTTTGAAATTGGAACGTCAAACGAGCGTCGCATTCTCCACATTGGCGACCGAAGATTGTGCAACTACCAAACGATCGTCTTACGCAACTGTTATATAACGAGGCGGCAACGCATGAGCGGATGGGAGGGAAATTGCCTATCTCCGTCAGTACTGGGTCAAGCGGCTGCCTCTCCTCGACTTGGTCCACTGCGCGGTCTGAACACTGAAGATACTAATCAAATATCGCACAATCGTGCTCGCCGTTAAATATATTGTGATGCTAACGGTCTTTGGCGAGATTCTTTCGAAAATTAAAGGAATGGTACGTTTGTTTATGAAGGTTAAATACCTATAAAATTGGATAACGCACAAGGACTGCTCCTTTGTCAGTGTATAGAGATCTATCCGCGATAAGGATCAGGACATGCCGCCGTGCGTATCGTGGGATTATTTCTAACGTACAAAAGCGTGTTCTAGTGGTGGCCCTATAATAAACATTGAAAATATTTCATGTCACAGATGCAACATGAACTTGCTACCTTTACGCCCGGTTTCTGAAACACTGATCATCGTAGAAGTTAACTAATCAGCTGTCAAATGGCTTTTCAAATTTTATTTGAGTTACCAAAAGGATTGTTAACTCTTTGAATTGATCATTCTGATCATTAACAAGATCATTTTGATCATCAAGAAGATCATTCTGATCAATTGAGAGAGTTTAACAAATCAATTTTTGACAAAACTTGAAAAGCCGTTTGACAGCTGATTAGTTAACTTCTACGATGATCAGTGTTTCAGAAACCGGCCGTTAGTCTTGATTTCATTGCCGTCAGCGAGAGGTCGTAAAGATTAAGGACGCGTCAAACCGCCGCAAGGAGTTTTCCGAGCGGTTATAAACGAGTGTGGAATTGACGACAATGGCCTAACGCAGGACGCGGCTAACTGGTTGAATTGTAACGCTGTTGCGCGATTGTTGCCAAGGTCAACGGAATGCAAATGACCGGCGCCGCGGCGAGGCGGTGTGCTATTCGGAAATTAAAAAAAACGTTCGCTTCGATTATCGTTCACGGTGTCGAAATGTACACATTCGATACCAATTCTTTCATTGGAATTTACCCTTAATTATTCACTTCTAATAATGAAGAACACGCACGAATTCGTATACCGTTTCAAAAAAGAAAATAATTACATGACATGACAGTTGAAAGTTTATTAATCGAGGAGGACAGCGTCTTTTAATGCGGTGTTATCAAAAGTTATTAAGAACTTTATATAATAGAACTTGCATGGGGTGGACTTGCATGCACCCCATGCAAGTTGCCTACCAAAGCTTGTATATCTAAAATAACAAGGTAAATTACAACCTAATTGTTTTTGTGTCACACAAGCTGCACTATATAAAACATAATAATGGCGATGTTCCTCATGCCTGCACGACCGCAACGGCTCACGAACGCCTCGACGTGATCCATTATATGATTTATGATATTAAATACCAGTGCAAAAAGAAGCAAAATTGGAATAGCAAGTAGTACTTTTTATAAAAAAACCTCTTTTCGTATCGCACTACGAGCATAGGTTCGTAAATAATGTCAGTTCTGTAAGGCCATAGACATTGGACGGTATGATTCGAATAGTTTCCCAATTAACGCCGCTACATTTGCCAGTAAAGCCCGTCTGTTGACAAAGCTTACCCAACACCCGATTGATATGTCACGATCGCTCCCAATGCGACTCGTCACAAGCGCGTTCGCGTTTAATTGCCTTTCGAGATTGGCAACTGTGTTGATGACGTCACGTCGCAAACATCCAGCGACTAACGGCGGCCCGTCTCTCTTTTCAGACGAAAATGTAGATAGCCGGCGAAGTAGGTCGTGGTAGGCGCTCGTAATTACCGGCACGATGTCCATTGACCAGGCGTCTCCGCTGGTCCCGATCACGCCGCAGGTCGCGCTGCAGAACGGCGCGTTCATTAAGAACAGCCACAACAGGAGCAGCTTTTGCGGCGTTGCCCCTTCGCCCAACGGCAACGGAACCTTCAAGACGTTCGCCGTCAACCGCAAGAGCTGGTGCGGCAACGTCTCCGTGCCGCTGCAGCAGTACCCGGACGACAAGCCCCAGCTGGCGACCTTCCGCTCCGGCACCGGCACCTTCCCGAGGAATAGGGAGCGGAATAATAACGCCGCCCTGTCGGGGTGTTTGACTCCAAACGGGAACTCGGCGCAGTCGCTACGGGCGAGCGAAGTGCGCAGGACCTGCGCGAACGGCAGGCGGTACGCGGAAATCGGAAACTGGAGTAAAAGGTGAGTTAATGTCAGCTAACACGGCCTCTGAGGGTCCGTTAATTGGAAATTAAACAGTGTTGTTCTATGATCAAATACACTCGTCTGAAATACTAACAAACCTTCCTTAAAGAACCAACGGAGAACATGTAAAAGTGATTCGAATTCATAACTGTACGGAAAGAATCTTATTATGTGAGACATTTTTCGTCTATATTGCAAGCACTGAAGGAAAATTCCGTGGCCAATCTACTCTCTCTAAATTGCGTTTGCCGTCGGCTTAATATATTTCGTGTAAGAAAGGCACATTGTTATTTTTCGAGATGATTAACAACGCTGACACAAATACCCGAGATGATTCCCCAGGTAAATAAAAGTTGCTAAAAGGAGCACGTCTCTCTAACTTTCGGTAGGTCTTATTTATTTTCTTTTTTCATCTCAAGTAATTTTGTAACAAGTTTTCCAATTTCATTCTCTTGTCGCTTTCATTTCCTCCCGTTCGTTGGGCCCCTTTCCCTTAATATTACTTTTATTAGCTGAAAGCCTTTAACAAACATTGGTTACGAAATCTTATAAAGATTGAATCTAATTTAATAATGGAATGCTAAATAAATAAAACGTTGATCCGAAATCTTTTTGTATTATTTTGTGATATGATCCCATTAATACGTCTTCTTTGTCAATAGCATTATAAATCACACCCGTAAATGTAGAGTATTTTTGATTTATAAAATTTAAGTTGGTACGACGAAGCAACGATTATATGTCTAGGTCTAATTGACATTTTAAGTACTTCTAAATCTTATATATGGAAATATTCAAATTCAAAGGATTTCACTAGCTAGTAATTTAATAATTTCGGTCTCTTTATTTGCATCGACTGATTTTAGATAAGTTTAGCCCTTCTCACGTCATACTGTGAGTGTTGTCCATCTAAACACTCACTTTTTCCGGATTCATCAGCCACACCCTATCTAATGTTTACCGCATTCGTCTAATCGCAATACTCATTATCTTTTATACGTTGTTAGCGGAAAGTTTATCCATAATTCTCCTTCGCTCAATTTGGGGCGGACTTAGTTGCCCGATAAGCCTTCGTCCAATAATCTGACTCTTAGTACTTAGGCTTTTTATTAGGGGTTGACTTTATCGCGTCGTGACTTGTCGTCTCTGAAGATGACTTTATCGCCCCTCCCTATTTAGCGGCTTCCCCGTCAGCGACTCTTCATTGCCTACGCTTTCTAGGTCGCCTCGATTTATACGCAACTTGACCAAATTGTCTTCCCAACTGGTTCTGTCTTGTTTATCTTTATACTGTCTTTTCTCTTATATTTTCAATATTTTTTTAAGTTGTGTAACATTTTATTAGCGACTAAAATATAATTATTTAGACCAAATTAAAAACCACACATTAAAATTACCCATTATTGAAGATTCGTTTCTAAAGCAATTACTCTTCGCTACCTCTGTCACTTTTAAAGAGGTCGTTTATTCTGTCTGATAGAAGTTATATTCATTAGTTCATACATTTCATTTTTTTCGCTGAGAGGAATAAAGCGGTTCTTCGTAGTGATACAGCTATAAATCCGGTATAGGGTTACATTAAATAATATTTGACAATTTCTATTGTACAAAATATCTGAAAAGTACAATAAAATTTACGCCATGGCTTCAAGATAAAGAATGCAATCAGACAAATTATGACCAAAACGCTTTCATCTGTACCTTAACGTCAGGATTACCATTGTGTTCCAAGCAATGATAAACTTTTTATGACTGACGGTTAGCTAACTGGAAGTGCTGTTGTTATTGTTTCATTACATTTAATTTATCCTATTGTTTCTTTTAAGATAAAATAAATGTGATCAATATAATAATGCGTTTTACGCGTTAAAGATTAGTAGGAGTATATATCGAATGAAATAAACAGAAAAACTTTATAGTATCCATGAATACTGTAAAGTTTTGGAAAAGTCGGGAATTAAACATTTTATCAAACATATAAAGATTTTTTATTGAACAATAAAGAAATCGCTTCAGCCGAAAAAAAAATTGTACCTTTATGTAATTGTTTGTTACTTTTGTAATTTTGCCTGGTGTACAATAAAGTGTATTTCATTCATTCATTCAATATCAAAATAGTTTTGAAATATCCTTATCTTCTCGTCAGTTCTTCATTAAAAAATAAACAACTGTTTTGAAGACTGACGGTATCATGTGGCAGTATCTTCATATCTTGTAATGAACAGTTTTACATTTTGTGGAAAATGAAAATTGCAATACTACAATGAAAAGACAGCAGTACTACAATGAAAGAAATTAAAGTATATGTGGCGTGAAGTAAAAGCACATTCTAATAAAAAGGATGTTATTGTCTTCATCTGGCAGCCTTTTAGATTATTAAAACTGACTTCTGTAGAGTGCGAGTGTATAATGTATAAAATTAAAATCAAGGCTTATGTCACATTGTTACTCTATTTTGTTATCCCTATCTAATGGTGTCAATTAACATAATACAAATTGCCTCTCTTCGTTCCTTTTCTTACTTAATAGCGAACGTTTCGTCACACGACCGCGAATGTAATATCGGGAAAAGCATTCCGGGAAACCATAACATAAACCAGCCCAAAAATATCGTTGTCATTTTAGAACAAAAAGGACGAAATCATTTCGCCACAAATCCAGACAATGGGCAAGATGATATTTGCCGGACGCCATATTTAAACTGGCGGTCAAGAATAAAAGGTTGACGGAAAAATAATTTTCTCCGCTGCGGAGGGACACCTCGCACTATTGTCAAAAGATTTGAAAGGTTCCTTTCATTCATTCTTCCGAGCCTATCAAATCCCTCTTTTCTCGTGAATGTTATTACAATTTTTTTCTTTATTTTTGTTATAAAAACTTTTTTAATAAATGGTAGTTTTCCGGATTACAGTGATTTTTCCATTTAATTTTTACCATTCAGTATTAAGTACGTCATTGTATAACCAAGCCTATCTAAGAATCCTCAGCTATTGAATAATTCAAATAAAAAACACCCAAAGATGGCAATGTAAAAACTAATGAACGTTAAAACGTTTCAAAAGCGTCGCGCTTTTATATCTATTACATTGAACGATATCGGAAATACGCTAATAATGTAAACAAGACGCCGGGCAAGGAGAAAAAGAACGTGACACGCTTTTGGAATTCAAAAGAGCCCTCTAAGAGGCTTATGGTATCAATTTACGTATGCGCAAACACGCACGTCTCCTTGTCGATGCAAAAACACCAAAGTAGGCACCTGTCAGTAATGTTTGCGGAGTAAATAATGTCGCAAATAACAAAATTCGGAGAGTGCCCCTCTTATATTGAATATCGAAATATCCGCTGGGCGAGGATCCACTCTCATTGCTTATTCGGGACGCGTGGTGGGGCATAAATATCCCAGTCGTACTCATTACAATAACTTCGTCTCGCTACGGACTTCCCCGAAGGCGGTTGCGGACGCTTCTATCCCGTGGGACGTCTTTCATTTCGATAATGGAATACCAGACAGATTTGGCCGATAATTATTATACCTGCGGTTCCTTCCGCCTTCGATGTATTCCCGAGCACGCACTTTGCGATATGAAACGTGTATCGATGCTGTCTATATTAGACGCGCTTAAAGGTATATATTGGTGGACCGTGCATTATTAACTACTATACCTTGTGTTATGAGTCCGCGCAGCTGGTAGCCTATATTTTGTAAACTGAACTACAAAGGATGAAGAATGCCAGTATTTAATTTTGTTGTCAAGAATCTGCTCAGATTTTTGACCTTCGCTCAAAACAGTGGTCTCTGTGCCGGATATAAAATTGGTGCAAATTGCTCAACATATTGTATCAATGAGTCTTTATGCGCACGTAGAACTGTTATGTTAGCGTATACGTTTAGATTTAGTACTTTTCCTGTTTAATAATTTTTTAAATATATTTACTACATAATTTATATAGGTAATTCAATATAAAAGAAATCGATGTTGAGACGGAAAAACGTCTCTTGAAATTCTTGATTGGCAACAACGCTCAGAATCAATTGTTTGCGTACTACGCCCATGTAATGTCTTTTTTAATAAGCTGTTGACCTGATGATATGCGTCAATGGGTGCATTCATTCAATAGAAACTGCTGGCTCTACCATAGGCAAATGAATACAGAGTGGTCACGCAGAATGCATATGATCGGCGTAGTGGATAGTCGACCGGTCTGTTGCGCCAGATGATGTGGGATCTCCACTGCTGGAAGAATATTGTGTGTGAAAAGAAAAGTTGGTTTGTATATGTTTATCACCTACCTGGTACTCACAGTACAAGCTTTGCTTACTTTGGGCCTAGATAGCGTTGTATAAAAAATATGTTCCGAAATATTTATTTATTTTTACCTGTAATCGCTCAAGGAAACATGCGACTGTGCTATGGCTAGGACACTCGCAGCCTAAAGTCCACAGTCTGTTGAGCACAGTGCCGGACACAACACCAATCGAGAATTGCGTCTATCCAAACTGTTCCGGGTATTTCATGCGTGGGCGAGCCTCTGTCATGCTAATTGCACCAACCGATTTGCACAACAAAACGCGCCGAACCACTCGGCCGCGCTAACGAGCCCCCCACGAAGCGGTTTCTGCCCGCTAATTCGCCCCCGCCGAAACGACACGCCAATTAAGACGCTCTTCGTTAATTGTCGCGATGATACGCACGTTTAGCCACTCCGTAAATTTTTGTATCGCTGAAAAAACCGCGCTTAGATAAATTTTTGACGGAGCTTTCACTTGGAACTCCTGCGTATAGCAACAAACATAAAAAGGGTTGCGATTTTTAGAAATTGATTCAACGCTGTTTACAATAACTATAGGGTCTAATATATATACTAGGGTCACGCGGCACCATCGACTGTTACACGAATGGGCAGGCTCGTCCATCTAAATACAGCCTCACAGAAGACAGCCGTGATGTGGAAGTAAAACACTTTCGCATTTAGGCTGTCCCCTCAGGCATTGTA